CAATATTGCAATTACGGGAAAAAAAAATCTAGTTTCTGTATTTTATATCCCTTTGCCTGACTTCATTAGTAGCATGAGTACAAGCAGGCAGAGTCAAGTTTTTGCTTCCATTCAAACTCTAGTTAGCTGATTGCCAGTTAACTAACAAGTTTTAACACATTAACCTAGACACCCCTAACATTTGTCCCATGCCACAAACAAAATTATACTTATTGTAGGCCAACACCTAGAGCAAAACCACAAAGATTAATAACCTATATTAAACAGTTTTGAGTGTCCACATCACCATCCTGCAAACTGAACGACCCCAGGATCTGTGGGAAAGGGTTGTGTGAAATCATGTACTTAAAGACTCTATCAACAGGTCTGCTGTGCAGACTAAGTGCACAAGCTGACAGCCCACATCACAAATCATGTACTTAAAGACTCTATCAACATTCATATGCACTAAGGGTGCATCTGTAAGATAAAGGCCTAAAACATCAGTCCATATAGCACAGGCCAAGTTAGAAGCCTGAGAGTAGCTAACAGACAAAACACGGCTAACAAAGCAAACCTCAGCTGTGAGCAAGAGGCAGGCCCCTGCTCACAGAACTTAACATGAACAGGGCTGAGTGTGCAAAACTCTAATTGATAATAGGCCCAGGTGTAGAACAATAATTGGTTCTGGTCATAAGTGGAAAGCACATGGTACCACTAGCTCATTCAAAAAGACCTTGGCACCCACTCTTCACAGATACAGACCCAGGTTCAGGAAAGAGTCTAAAATAACAGCATGATGGATAGAGATAATCTAATTAAACCATGAGGTAGGGTGATGAGCGGTATCTAAGTAGCAGCAGAAGGTGGTAACCTGACAATGTCAGAGGGTAGCAACCCGATACATCAGCAGTGATGTGTAACTTGTTTGTACCTGTATATAAAGTGGTGTCTTGGGATACCTAGGGGGCAGTGGAAATTTCCCACTGATTCGCTAGCTTCGCGTCTCCCTAGTCTGCTGGGGGGAAGCAGCTAGTGCGGGGTTGCCTCACCCCGTTTGTAAGTAGGGATCTGATGTAAGTCGGATCCATGTAACCCGGGGACTGCCTGTAATTTGTTTGTACCTGTATGTGAAGTGATGTCTTGGGGGAACAGTCTTTGTATGACTTAGGGGGCAATGGAAATTTCCCACTGATTGAATCATTCCATTGTTACGGGGTACATATGCGTAGTGGTTCAGTAGAGTCTACTGACAACTATTACTGTACTTCGCTTAATAAACCTGGGCGGGTGCCTTCGATCCTTATCTGGGTTGTGGTCTTTGGAAGCTCTCTTGGGGTCTGCTGTGCAGACTAAGTGCACAAGCTGACAGCCCACATCACTGAGCACACACTCAAGCAGCCTTCTGGTTGTTATCAACAGAGCCAGAGACCCGTAAGGACACCTCAGCAGTAAATCCTGACCGTCACTTAACTAACTGCAGCATCTACACTGCACTGTTATTTTGAGAGAACTAGCATTATTTTGAAATAACAATGAGAGCGTCTACACCACAGCTACGCAATTTTGAAAGCCCCGGGGGCCACAATGATACCTACTGCACATGCTGAGGGCCGCAACTTAAGTGTGTTTGCATATACTTGGAAATATAGATGCAAATAGCTTCTTTCACACTGGCGGGCATGAATACAAAGATTAAGGCAAAAACTACACAACATGCAGGCCCCATTTAAGTCAGTTCTGCTGATATTAATAAAATGCAATATTTACCCGATTTCCATCCATATGACAGAACTTTTAATGAGCAATGACAGTCCACGAATTTAACTACTAAAACGCATATCAACAGAAGACCATTATATTGACTCGCTATTATGGAGAGTGTTCCCAGTGGAGGCCATATTCACAGGATCCCACCTACAGGCCACGTGTTGAGGCCTGTGTAAATCCAAACCACACCATGGGCCACAAAAACAGGCCGCAGAGCACATGCAGCCCATGGACTGCGTGTTGAGTAGCCCTGGTCTACACAGCCATTCTGATATTTCGAAATAATGGACAGCTTACTCCGAAATCTGTTAGCCTCATTCTATGAGAAATAACACCTATTCCAAAACAGCTAATACAAAATAAGGTATGTGTAGACACTGAACGACTGCTATTTCAGAATAGCCCCTCACCAGAGCCATTATAAGTTATTCCTCCCCAGTGCCTTCTGAGGCTCTAAATCGAGATTGCACATCTACATTAGGGAAGCCTGCATCAGACTAAATAAGGGCATGTCTAAACTACATCCCTCTTTCAAAACAGGGATGTAAATTAGACATATTGAAATTACAAATGAAGTTGGGATTTAAATTTCCCATGCTTCATTTGTATAATGGTGGCCCTGCATTCTTTTGAAAACGGGTATTTTGAAAGTGAAACTGCCATCTAGATGCAATTCTTTCGGAAAAAAACTTTCTGAAGGATCCTGTACTCCTCAAAAAAAATGTTTACAGGATCTTTCGAAAAAGGGATTTTTTCAAAGAACCGCGTCTACAGCAGTTTCACTTTCGAGATACCCATTTTGAAAAGAACATGCAGCCACTGTTATGCAAATGAAGTAAAATTGAAATCCCAGCTTTATTTGCAATTTTGATATGTTTAATATACATCCCTCTTTCGAAAGACGGATATAGTATAGACATAGCCATAGTGTGCAGTGTAGACGTATCCTGAGCGACCAAATTAATGTTGCATGAGTAACCTCAGACCTGGCATTTCTTAACTTCTGAGTGCTAGATTTTGCAATCTTAACATTCGTTTAAGGTAGCTTTATAATGTAAAGTCAATTTTATAATCAACTTGATTAGTTCATTTTGTTAATGTGTTTGCCAGTAGTAGCGTTATTTAAAAAAAAAAAAAAAAACCATACTGTATATGCATATGCGTTCAGTTTGCCTCCTTCCTGGTCTGACTCTGAATCTGGAGCCCCAAGTTACGTAGCATGGAAAATAAAATATCACATCTAGTATTAACAATGCTGGCACCATGCAGCATTTCCACAGGTTTCTTTGGCTCCATCCAGTACTATTTTAAATCTTCCAAAATACAAAAACCTTCAGAATTTTTGAAAGACTGGGTCAGACACTTATTTCTGTACGTCCCCATTAGAGGAGCAAGTTATCTAAGATTTTTGTTAAAGAAAGAAAAACATGCTTGCCTAGCTTATAATATGTTACTCAAAGCCAAATTTATGGGAAGAAAACCCACAAATAGTAACTGAAAAAGTATTCATATAAAATACTAGCAAGATAAGTCAGCCAGACATCTCACAGGTGCTCAGAGCAGGTACATACAAGTGTGGCAGCATGATGGTAAAAAACAAAAGGTCTCTTGCTTTAATTTAGTGAGTTAGATTACAATTAAAGGATTGGAGATTATAAAAACAGTTTCCTTACCAGATCAATTTTTTTAAATATTTTCCCTTTATTTTTTAGTATTTACAGTAGTGTACCTGCTACTGCCTGATTACATATTTCCAGTTCCAGAGGTGGTGTGTGGTAGACTGGTCAGTTCATAACTTCGGCATTTGTAACTCTGAGATTCTACTGTATTATGTCTTGTCGCCTATCTAGCCTATAAACTTTCTGGGCTTGAGACCAGTGTTCCCTGTAAGCTGAGTTACTGGGTGGCCACCAAAGAGAAATTCAAAATGCTACTCAATTGATTAGCAGAGTGCCCACAGTTAAAACGTATTCCACATGTAGATGGAAAAAATGGGAGGAAGATTGGTTGGGATTGTCTTTCTGGTTATTTATAAGGAGTCCAGCACAATGTGGCCCTGATCCTTAATTGGGATTCCCAGACATTAGAATACAAATAATAAATTAGTGCAAACCTGAAAACATGGAAGAGTGGCAAGAGGAAGCTCAAGAGTGAGGATTTAGGAAGAGGAAATACAGCTGGACAACGGAAAAGAGAAATCTGCAGTGAGAATGATGGGTTGGGGTCAGAGGAAATGGAAAATGGGTAATGGGTAGTGAGAACAAGAGGGACCATGTTAATGACATAGCCAAATACCAGACCAGAAAAATGGCATATTTCCTCCAAGAGCAGGCTTGTTCCAATTATTATTTATGTTCTGGTAGTACCTAGGAACCATAATCAATGGCACCATTCTGGGAGATACTGTACAGACAAGGAAGAGAGAAGAGACTGTCCCTGCCCCAGAGAGCCCATACTAGATAATTCTGACAACACTGACAAAGATATATAGAACAGATCTGGCTCAGGTAGCCCAACCTGTATGTATACACATATAATTTGACATGAAATATAGTATCTCCAGCCTTGAACAGCCTGAAAATA